GTGTCACTGGGCCGAATGGCCTGGGTCCTGGTGTTGCCAAGGCTTTCTGTCCTCCCTCTGGTAGCAGCTTTTTTCATTTTGCAGATAATTCTGGTTCTATTCTTAGCACTAATGCAGAAATCAAATAAGACTTTAACTCAAAGCCCAATGTAATCCTTGTGCAGTGCCTCCTGCATTTAGAAGCTTCAGGAATATACAGAGGGAAGAGGCACTGGGCTGGGCACACCCACCCCAATTGTGTCAGAGTGCACACTGCCAGGTCTAAAGCTTGCCCACAGGGTACAAACATGGAGGATTTTATCCTCTAACTTTAGATTGTAGGCGCTACACATCATAGTTATGAGAGTCACTTTTACTGAGTGATTTATCAGCATGCCTTCTTTTCACTTGAGGACCTGTGAGACAGGTCACCCTACCAGAACCTGCATCATTTTCCTCCAAAGTCCATCCATACTAACGGCCAAGCCTTAGAACCACCTAAAAGGTCATACATTTCATGGAGAAACATATTCAGAGTCTGACTCACAGCACTTTGGGGCTATAGACTTGATAGTCCACAAGTGGAAAATTTGGAGAAAATACATTCTTTCAATGCTTTTCTATCCCTTCCTGAAGACCAACATAACTTGTTAACAGAGGAACAGAATGTGGCAAGAGGTTAAATTTACATGGGGTAATCCTGTATACTTTCTAGAGAACGATTACTTACAAGTCACTTTTTAGTTCCCAAGTCTCTGAAGACTCACCCATCTTTACACTCAAGAGTCTCAGCCAATAATGGCAGGAAAGTGTCCCTAGCCCATGGTTCACGAACTGTGCGCTGGGGTACTCTGAGCCACTGCAGCAAACTCAAAGGGGCAATGAAAAATATCTTACTATTCCAAGGAAATACATCAATGAGGGATCTCTGTTGGACAGCACAGAACTCCTAGTTTGGGGTAGTTCAGTTTCTACATTTGGGCAACATTAGCTCACATCTCATTCCTTTTGCTGATATCACATCTTCTTGAAGCGGAGGTCAGCCATTGTTGTGATTAAAAGTACAGAGTAAAACTCAATGTGAAACAGGACACGAGAGTGGCATTATCCTACCTTATTCCAAGGTTTGAGAAGCTATATAGGGCCCCAAAGGTCTGTGCATACCACTAGCAAGGAATTGAGGTTCCATAAGAATGAAACAAAAATATCATCTTTTTATTTCAATTTACATTAGTTTTTTTTTTTTTCTTAAGAGACTTTTTGCTATATAGTACAGTGCTTGCTAGGGACAGGGAGAGACAGAAAGAAGTGAGAAATTACCCTCCAGGGAGGATGGCCATGCCACAATCCCCTCTCTTCCATTCTCCTCTTGGGATTTTGAGCACTCATGCACACACAAGCACTCAGCCTGAGTTTCAAGCTGTTGGGTTTAGGACTCAAATGGAGGTCAGCCATGTGGGAGTTCAGTGCCTTAACCACTACACCAATTGCCGGTTCCCTCAATTTACGTTAGTTTTTAAAATGGCCACTAGATTGTTAGGAAACATAAACTTAAACTTCTTAGACCTAGCTACTTAATAAATGGAACTGTGAGGTATTTATTTGACCTTAAGACTTTGTGAAAAAAATTACTGACACTCTACAGTTACTGAAAGGGGAATTTGGGAACCTCTACCCTATGCCTCTGTACTGTCTGCGCAGTGCCATGAGGGACCATCTTGAAGGGTTTCTATCTTATAAGGTAGGTGGGGTTTAGATTTGAAAAGGGGGTGAAACCAAGGGCTCGTATCTGTCCTAATTGGCTAGAAGGTCAGCACAAGTCTTGTTTTTTTTTTTGTTTTTTTTTTTGTTTTTTTTTTTTAACCAAAGGAGATCCCAGAATCATATCAAACAGAACAGAGCCTATGCCATGGGTGAGATTAGGGAAGGTGGATCTTTGCAGGTAATCATTTGAGAATGGTAAGACAGAGAAAGGGAAGGAATGCTGTTTTAAAGAGACTATGGGAAGTCATGAATGGAGGAGGTCCTTCACTGGGTGTTTGTGTGTGTATACACTGTGTGTATATATAGGATGGGCAGCCCAAGCACATAGGAAACCTATCATTCCACTGGTGAATGGATAGCACGGTCTCCTTAGAAAGGAATGAAAACAGACCCAGCTATGATTGCACGCAGATGCTGCTACAGCTTTGGAGGTCACATAAGAGGCCCAGGTTCAGATCACAGGCCAACCTGAACATGCTGGGCACAGTCACACATACCTGTTATCCTAGCTAATTAGGAGGCTGGGGCAGGAGAATTGAGACACACAGAGGCCTTGCCAAAAATTACCTACCTTAGAGGCCATATGGGCAGAGCACCTGGTGACCTACTGATGCTCTGTTGATCTTTGTGGGAAGGTTCTGGGTTCACATTTAGAGACCTCCCTGAACACACCAGGCATGTATGTGCCCATCATCTGGGAGGGCTAAGGATGGGTGGATGGCAGTGTGATGACCCTGTTGGGGGTGACTATCTCTCTGTTTTCTGATTCATGAAGAAATAAATAAAATTATATATATATAACATACACATACACATACATATACACACATATATAATTCTGTCTGTTTATCTCTCCTCCTCAGTTTCTCTCTCTCTCCCATAAACAGAAAGAAGAAAGAGGAATGTAAATGGTCCTTAGCATTCGGCAGAGTCACCATTAATGAGTGTGCCAGGGGGTTCCCTTCATGAAGAAGTGAGAGTCACTCTTAGTGTGAATCTTTGAAGATATAAGTGGGGTCTGGCTCATGAGGAGTGGCCACACTGGTAAAGGAATTCAGGTGGGGGCACAGAAGTGTCACGCATGAGAGCTTTAATAATGAGGTCATCTCCGGGCTTGTTAACTAAGAATGCTGGGGGAGAGGGGTGGGCTGTGGCACTGTGGTAAATAATGTCCTGTGAGGTTGACACACATGGGAAGCTTCTGGGTTTGACTCTGGAGACCTCCCTGTACATGTCGGGCACATGCATGGCTCATGATCTAGACAGGCTAAAGCTGAAGGTGGATCATGGTGGACCATAGTGTGAGGACTCTATTGGGTTCTGTCTAAAGAGAGAGAGAGGGGGAGAGAGAGGAAGAAAAATAAATGGAAAAAGAATGCACTGGGATGATTCTCAATAAACAGCAGGTCGGAAGGGATAGTGGTGCCTTTGAGAAATGAGAATCAATCGCATAAAAATAATAACGGAAAAGTAAGGATGAGACTGTTGTGGTTGGGATGTGAGGGAGGTGGGGTGACCCACACTTCCCTTCTTGGCTGACTACTCTTCCTTGCAGCAGTCAGCTGGACCTCAGTTTCCCAGGAGCCTCTCTTACAAACTGCATTTCCTGGCTAGCCTCATTCAGAAAATCCAACATCTGGGCTAGTCCTGAGCTCCTCCTCAGGGGTGGCCAGGGGTAGGTGCCCCTGCAGCGGTGGCAGAGTCCTGCCACTCCAGATCACATGCAGGTGAGGCTGGGAAGAGGCATGTCATGTATTGCTTTCTCACACAGACCTGCCTCCTGGAGGGTAGTAAAGACCACTGTGACCTATTTCAGTGAAAAAGAAGTCATATAACTCACCTGGGAGAAAAAATAAATAAATTTTAAAAAGAGATGGGAAGAAAAGAAAAATAAAAGGGGTGCTGGGATCAGCTACATTTGGAGCTTACTTGGAGCTTACTACTATACCCACTGCACACCTGAGGGCCTGAGGCCTCCTGCCTGGTTGTGAGGCTGGCCACCTGCCGAGGACAGCAAGGACTGTTTAAGTCCCTTCACTCCTAGAAGAAGCCACACCTGCATGTGGTGGGCTGCCGCTAGGACCATGCTTGATGGAGAAGAAATGCTCACTAGGAAGAGGGCTAGCAGGCCAATGTGGACAGGCCATGCTTGTTTCACCTTTGCTGACTGATTCCTGGAGAAACAGCATAACAGTTGGTCGAGAGAGAAAATGAGGTCAGGAAATGTGAACAAGGGCCCACAAAGGCAGTAGGACATGATGCGGTGTGATGCTCCAGCCATGTGAGAAGGCCTGGAGTTCGGATCCCATGTAGACAGGATATACTGGGCACCCATGACCTGGCTGGCTGGAGACTGGGGTGAAATCATGGCATGGTGGGATTCTGTTGGGGATGCCTCTCTTTCTTTCTCTCTCTTAAACAAGTAAGAAATAAATAGACTCAAAAAATGAGAACATAGCACATAACTGGCCTGGTCCTGGGCCTAGAATAAGTCTGTCTCTTATTATATCTCTGGGCTCTCAGGATCATCCTCTTATTTGTAAGAGTTCTTACAGTTTAGATTGCTTGACCAGCCCATCAGCTAAAGATTTGAAGTTTCAACATAAACCCTCATATTTTAAAAATAAATAATTATTTGCTTATTTAATTCCATTTATTATTATTATTTTTTTTAAGTATGACCAGAGAGAGAGAGAAAGAGAAAGGGAAAGTGAGAAAGAAGCCACCAGGTCCAAGACTCAAACTGCAGTCAGCCATGTGGGAATCCAGCAACCCCAACCACCACGCTACCTGCTGGATCAACCCTCATATTTTTAATCCAACCAGATTTGTGTTCTAGATTACAGAGGATTTCATGGCTGGATGTGCAGTGCCAGGAAACCATAGAACACTTGCATCTTACAGACAGCAGTTCAGGTTATCACACGGTGCCTAGATGGAGAGATGCTTGTCACAACACATAACACAGACTGATACTGATATTTGTGTTGTGTGAACAGCGGAATCGTGGCCTGATTAGTTCCACTGTGAGCTGTTGTGAAGTCATCTTTATGTTGTCATTCTTATGTCATGGACATAAGAATTATGGCTCCCTGCAAGGCTGTAGCAGCCCGCCGCCATGCAGGGTAAGAGACTTCATTCACCTAGGTGGGGTGTGCTCTGGCTTATTACAGAAGACATGATTGCTTTTTTACACACATTCATAGGAATCAGGAAAAGGCATTCTTTGCGTGCCTCGTGATCAATGCCCTACTTACCAACTTCATCCCTGATGTTTGCAAGTTCGATTGACAGCTCTTTTTCTTTCACAAGGGCACTTTCATTCTGAAAAAACAAAATGGATACCGAGAGTCCCCTAGTTTTATGCTATATAAGCACTTTCACATCTTTAATTAATGAATCATACTAAACAAATAATTATAAGTCCAACCCTTAAGGAGATAATTTTCTTATTACATAAGCATATAAAAACTTAGAACGCCAAGTCTGACTCATTCATTTGTATCACAGTCAAATGGCAAAGCTTGTAATTTAATATCTGTGGTGACACTTTTCTTTATTTTACACCATTGTTTATCCTCTGCAATAATCTTTGCATGTCAATGTGATACACGTCGATCTACTGTCATATACTATTATTCAGTGTTCATTATCATTATTAGGAGATTTTTGACTATGGAAGAAGTCCATGCCATATTTCTCTCAAGGGCACATACTTGTTTTACCAACTGTCCCCTTAAATTTAACCATCAGTCCATATATACCTAATTTTCTAATGAATAATGAAGATCAGAAGACTCAATATAAACTATTTCTCCTTGTAATAAGATCAACAAAAATACTTAAGGTTTCCAAGTTATTTGTCCCACATTGGCATCAATATGAGGAACAATAGGAAATTTCACACTTCAAGTATTATTGTATGTAAAGAATACCATTTGTAACTAAATGACTGTTAAGTTCTCATATCAAATACATTCTGGGAAATAAAATGAAGCAGTCGAAGATATGGTCAATTTGTAATCTGGGTTATTGAGTCAAGAGAAATAGCTCATCATAATTTATTAATAGTAACTAGAAAAGATGTACCATTTAAATTATCTTCAAGTTAGAGATACCAAAAATATAGGCTTTCAAAGAAAGACTGTCACTCTGAAGAATGCACTCCCAAAGGAAACTGCTTCCAGAGAGGGAATTTGGGCTAAAATATGACCCAAATATCTATTATAGTATGATCATCACCAGGACCTAGGTGAATATCCTTTCTTTATTAACCACCTTTGACCTGAGTGTCAGCACCTCTGCACAACGTGTGCTAAATGTGACTAGACAGTTCTCACAGCCTCATTTCTGATTCTGCTGTGTTTAGTCTTGCATGATAAAAGTCTTGCTATTTAGTGTTGGTGGGAAGGTATCAGGTTATCTGAAGGGCGTTTTCTTTTTTTCTTTCAATTTGAAATCACTGAACTTTTTATTTTTTTGACTCTGAACTTTTAAACGTGTGAACTTTTAGCACAAATTTTGGTATTTCATTCTAAATACCACTAATGAAAAGTGTTTAACTCTTTATATAGATATTTGAAATTTTAAAATGATGAAATTAGTGGTTTCTTAGATTTGATACCAAAAGTACAAGCAATAATTAAAAAAAGTAAACCTCATCAAAATTAAAAACTTTTGCATTCTTATAGACAGCATCAAGATAGTAAAAAGAAAACCTAGAGAATGGGAGAAAAGCTTTGCAAATCATATATCTAATAAAGGAGTTGTATATAGAATATATATTGAATTATATATAATTCAATAATAAAAAGACCATCCAATTAAAGTGGGCAAAGTTGGGGCCAGCGGATGGTGTAGTGGCTACATTGCTGGGTTTCCACTTGGCTGATCATGGCTTGATTCCCTCATTTGGTGGCTTAAAACTCATGTCAGGTGGGCAACCCATTTTCCAGGACCCCTCCCTTCTTGGGAACTCTGTTTTTCCTTCTCTCTCCTTTAATAAACTCCCTGCTTTGTTAATAAAGTTGCTGCTTTGCTAATAAACTCGCCACTTTGCTATACCTACTCTTTGTGTCCACAATTAGTTCTTTCTAAGTGTAGGACAAGAAACCACATCTCAATGTGAGCGTGGGCCCAATAACTCCTGTGCCCTGCATTCCTGGGTCATATTTTGGTGCACTGTCTGGGAAACATTAGACTCCCCTTCTTCATGTTGGAATGAATCCATCAAGTTACAAATGGGGGTTGCAACAAAGTCTCCAGTGAACACCCATCGTGACTTCTAGCACTGGCCTAGATAGACCTCTGGTATAGGAATCTAACTGCTGCTTCCCCTCTCCCATCATCAAGCTGAGGGAAGAAGTCAAAATTGTCTTCAACCCTAGTGCCCCTAACAGCAGTTAGGAATTCCTCTGTAGACTGGGGAATGCAGTAGGAGACAGAGACCCTGAAAATATCATCAGGGTATGGGCCCAAGATGGAGGCATGCAATGGGTAATTTTTGAGATGGAGGCAGTGATGGCTCAGTGATTGACCTAGGAAGCATGACCTAGATGTAAAACAAAGACTTCCCAGGCTCAACCACTTTCCAGGAAAAAGAAAAGATAATGGTTTTGGGGACCAGCAGTTGGCGTAATGGCTATGTTGCTGGACTCCCAGGTAGTTAACCGTGGTTCAAGTCCTGTACCCGGTGGCTCAAACTCACATTGGGCATGTGTTGAAGGGCATTTTCTAAGCAATGTCATGATATTTATGATGCAAGAGATAAAACTCTATTTTAGTAATAAATTGAGAATTATTTTAGTCACAGGTATCAACAATTATTAGCTAATGGTTCCCTTTAGAAATGTAGCAATGAATCCATCCTTTGGGACAATGTACCCTGACTCTGCTGTGGTCTAACTGCTATGTCCTGCTAAAATTCCAAGGTGATGGTATTAGGAAGTGAGACCTGTGGGAGATGACTAGGTCATGAGGGTAGACCTCTCATGAATAGGATTAGTACCCTAATAAAAGAGGCTCCCAAGGGCTGCCTTACCACTATGTGAGGGCACTACAAGATGGCATTATGAGAAAGCGAACCCCAACAGACACTGAATCTGCTGGAGCCTTGATCTTAGACTTCCTAGCCTCCAGAACTGTGAGAAATACATTTGTGTTGTTTATAAATCACATAGTTTATGGTATTTGGTTACATCAGCTCAAATAGACTGAGACAGACCTCTCTTCACTATCTCATTCATGAAGCTCTCTTCTAACCCAGCCTATACAACCCTTGCTTTCCCTGAATTTCAAGGCTAGCAATTCCGTCTGAGAATGTTTATTCTTCAGATCATTAAACAATACTAACTTGATGCCATCCCACTGCCTAGGGCTATCATGAGATTAAATAAATTCATATATGTGATGTAGGTAGAAGAGTACTCAGGCATCTGCAAGATTATGTAAGTGTGAGTTGCTACTATGGCTTGTTTCCTTCTGCTTATAGTTAAAAGTATATAATGATGTTATCCTACATACAATAAGTGTTTTTCCATATTATCTACATGAGTTTGGAATTTTCATATGTCTTTTTTTTATTTGCCAGAGGGCACATGTACTTGACAGAAAGAGACAGAGATAGAGGGAGAAGGAGAGGGAGAAAGCACCACCCAATAGGGTGTGGTTATGCTATAATCTCTTTTCCTTTCTGTTCTATGAGGATTTGGAGCATATATACACATGCACCTGGCATGTTGATGCTACCTGGTCAGGGACTTGAACTCACAGTGAACTTGCAGTCAGCCATGTGGGCTCTGGCTCTTATGGGGCCTAGTGGTTAAGTGACATATTAGTTTTACGCTCTGTTTTTTTTTTTTTTTTTTTTTTTCAGGGGCTACCTGATCTGCCTTGATTTTAAGTTTTGATGCGGTTCAACAATTAGAGAACATAGAGCAGGGGAAGTGTTCTAATCAGATTGATCATAGGGCTTATATGCGTTTCTAAGAGCAGCATAATATGGACAGCTGACAACTAGTTACTATAGGTAAAGAAAATTTGGTATTTGGGATAAGATTATTTTCACTACTTACCTAATGAAAAAATTGTTTCCACTATCAAGAATAATTTTGAACCCCTACATCCTCTAGTTCCTAAATACAGCCAGAAAATTCAAATAGTGTACTTAGCAGTTCAGAACTAGCTTTACTAAAGTATTTACTTTTCATAGCAAGGAGAATTGCAAAGACTTCAATCAGGCTAGGCAGTAACAATCAGAATTTAACAAAACACAAACAAACCACCTTTAATTTTCAACCCAAAGCCATCATTTCCTTCAGCTTCCTGTGGTGGCCCCTACTAGATGCTAATAGTGTTGTTTCCTTGGGATCTCCCATTTCCTAACAAATCACTCTAGAATTTCCAGCCACAGTAGAACCAGGCATTTGGGGAAGGAATGACTGGCAGCCCCTGGGAGGCAGACGGGCTTAGTCCAGTACAGTGCTGATTATGGAGGAGGGTGTTGATAGAGACCTTCAGACTGAAATCACTGTTAAGAAGCTGACAGACACCTCACAGCCTTCTCCACTCATCTGTCTGGTTCTTAGGAGAAACACAAATGAGATGTATGGGAGCAAGTAAGAAAACAAAGCATGAAAAGAAAAGGAAGAGAGAGGAAGAGAGGAGATGAAAAGGAAAGTGGGAATGAGATCAGAGACTAAATTATTTCCATTTGGGGAAGCAGAGGCCATGGAAAGAAATCAAGACTGAATGGGGCTGGCTTTGTGGTTAAGGGAGCTGGATCCCACATGGCCCACTGTGGCTTGAATCCTAGCCCCAGAGACTTGAAAAATATTCCAGGTGCATGTTGGGAATGAAGCAGAAGTGAGATCAGAGACTCTAAATTATTTCCATTTGGGGAAGCAGAGGCCATGGAAAGAAATCAAGACTGAATGGGGCTGGCTTTGTGGTTAAGGGAGCTGGATCCCACATGGCCCACTGTGGCTTGAATCCTAGCCCCAGAGACTTGAAAAATATTCCAGGTGCATGTGTGTGCATGCCCCAAATCACAACAGGATGGGGAGATGGAGAAGGGATTGCAGTGTGATCAGGTCCCACTGGGCAGGGGAAGTTCTTTCTCCCTCTCTCTCTCTTTCTTTATCTCTCTCTGAAGAGAGAATGTGCCATTTGGAAATTTAAAAAGAAGACTGAATGAAGATGATTCCATTCACCCATCCCTATCATCAATTGGCGAAGGCAGGAATTTTAATTCAGTGTCCATGTTCTTCATCAAACACTAAGATGACAAGAGTCTCCCCTGCTCCCCACACTCATACAGATGCAAC